TGGATTAATTATATTATTCGACTCTCGTTGTTCTGTTACCGGCTTACGCTGAAGAGCTCGTTTTATCTTGGGGAAAGATTTTCGCTAGTCGGAAACACTTTCTTGAGGAAAGCGTTTACGCGACTCGAGCTATTTTATTTTCTAACGTTTTTTGCAGGTTTATCCGGCCGAATTTCCAACAACAGCTTGAACGGTTGAACACAACCATGGCGTCGTGACGCGACGTTAACTAAGGCGCTTCTTGGGAGGCAACCCAAGCAAGGTACGTTTACTTGTTTTGTTTTCTTTTTACACATTTCAAAAAAAAATAGATTGGGATTGGACCCGGCCGGGTATAAACCCTAACCCGGTCGGGTTACTTCTAAAAACAAAACACCCGGGCAATCACCCGGGCGAGGCATGAGCAAAACAAGAATAAATTTTTCGCCCGACCGGGTAGACTTCCATACCCGGCCGGGCAAGCCAGCAAAAACCTTCTGCCTCGGGTGAACAGTTTACGCCCGACCGGGTACACTACCCCACCCGGCCGGGTATCTCGATTTTTGGAAACCAGGCCATTTCTCAAAAAAAAAATGAATCACCCCCCTTTGTCTTCCCTTTCGAACCACACCCCAAATTCCCTCCATTTCCAAAAGTCAAAAGCTACATATCTTCTACATTCATCCACCAATTAAACTCATTTCATTCATCATCTCTTCACCCTTTTCATCTCCACACCCACGAATCACCAACAAAACCTCCCAAAAAATATCCAAAAAAAAATATTCATCTTAGACACAAGCACTAGGGACAGTGCTTTGATTAGCTTGGGGGGAGAGTTTTATGGAATACTCACATTCATACTCTTTATTCTTGTAAAAAAAAATTATAAAAGCTTGTTAAGTTGAAAACCTGAAAGGGCAACTTAAGCAAAAATAAAGCAAAAATAAGAGTGAGTTGTGAGGATTAAAACAGAAAAATGTGGGAAGCTGGGATGAAAACCCGAAAGGGCACCTAGGCAAAATGAGAGAACGAGAGAAAGTATTTTCTTTTATTTCGGCAGGATCCTAAGGGTAACGAAAAAAAAGGTTGAGGTTGATAAAGAAATATGGAGTTGAAGACCCTCTTTACTATTATATTTTTGGGGATTACTTTATGTGTTTCTAAAAACACTCGTGGATGTGTGTGTTGATATTCTTGTCATTTTAAGGACTTCTTGGATCGGATTTGATTTACTCGAGACGAGTAAAGGTTTAAGTGTGGGGGTGTTTGATGCACACTAATTAGTAGTGCATAATTACATGTTTTTATGTTTGATTTATGTTAATTGTTTGACGTTTTATTTAGTTTGTAAACATTTATGTGATTTCAGTTGTAATTGTATTTTAGTCTTTATTTGTAAGTTGTAAAGTTTAGTTAGGATTTGTGGTGTTGGAAAGGAAGACTTTGAAGTGAAGAAAAAGAAGATTTGGCTGCCCAAGAGCAAATACCCGACCGGGTATAACACTTGACCCGGTCGGGTAAGAAGTGAAAAACGAAAATGCAAAGAAAGTGCATGGCCCGGTCGGGCCCACTACCTCACCCGGTCGGGTGAGAAGTGACCGGGGACAACCCGGCGTACAAAGATCACCCGAACGTGAAGAATATCCAATTTTTGCACTCAACCGGTCGGGTCCCCTACCCCACCCGGTCGGGTCCGACTTGACCCGGACACTTTAACATGCCGAAGATCGCCAGAACGTGAGGAAATATCTGATTTTGACCGGGCCCGGTCGGGTGAGTACTTGACCCGGTCGGGTACCCGGCCAAAGGTGTTGAAAAACACCTATAAATAGCACACTTTTTCTTCTATAAAAATAATCCCTTCTTCCATACACTTTAGCTCAGTCTAGAATAGCTTTTCTTCATATTTTTCTAGCTATGTTTAGTCTCCAAATGAGGAGCTAAACTTCCATTCTTGGTGTTGCTCTTGAAGCTTGTTGATTATTAAAGTTGTGAGTTATTTTCTTAACTTCTTTCCTTGAATATTAATTAATAGTGCTTTCCTTAATACCATCTCTATATTAATGTTGGGAATGTTGCTAAGATGACAATTAGTTAACATCTCGACATTAGTTAGAATGGTATTTTCTTCCTCTATATTAATGTTGGGGAGTGTTGCTAAGATGACAATTAGTTAACATCTTGATATTAATTATAGTAGGATTCATCTTCTTTAATAATATTCTTCCTTGAATATTAATTAATTCCTACTCTTATTTCATATTAATATTTTGAACATTACTTAAAGGATCAACTAGTTTTGTTTCATATATTAATTATTACTAGAAACGATCAACGAACCGATGATTAATCGTTGATGGTTTCACAAGTAAGTAACTTCGGTTTATTAATGCACGGTCGTGGTTAATAAACTTAAGAGGGATTAGTTTTGTCGCTTAAACCGAAACCGCTTGTGTTGAGGTTATCAATCTCAATTGATTTCATCAAGGAGTTAGAAAGATTAAATGCTACTATTAAATCGGTATAAGGCGTTGTTATATATTTGATTAATAGTAAGGGTTATTAATGAACGGTCGTTGTTAATAACTACCCTCGATGAAGTGGATATACTCCCTGATTGAGTATTCGAGAGGGAATAAGTTATAGATATAACAATGATCGACTAAAATATATCAACAAGTGGAAAGTAGCAATGCCAAGTCCCTTTTATTCTTGAATTAAACACATATAGGTTGTTCATCTTAGTTCTTAATTAAATTAAATCACTCAATCCAAATCCCCCCTTTTATTTACTAAGTTTCATAAAAAGAGAATTATTCCTTTCCCTGTGGATACGAACTCTACTACGCTATACTACGTATAAGTGTTTAGTATTGAATTTATTTTGACGCAACGTGACAAAGTGCTCGTCATACCCCTTCCCCTGTTGTGCACGATGCCGGACGGACCGGGGTCACCATGAGTTCGGCTCCTGTAGTGAGGGAGGTATGGCTCTGTTAGGGCTGTTGCGCCTGTCGTCATTGGTAGACTTTGAGTGGCAGTTTGCAAACCTGTCCTTCTCGCTTCGGGACGTAATGATTCCGGGAAGAAACACGTCGGAATACTGGGAATGGGGGTCGTTTCAGGGACGAGCGGTGTGTACGGTATTACTTGAGAGATGACGGTGGGTTGTGACTCTCCGGCGGGTGAGAGGCCCAACGTGAGGGAGATGGGTTCGGAAGTGATAACGGGTGCACCCGTCACCGCCGGAGTAGATTCCAAATCAAGTCTAGTGACTACGGGCATCAGATCGTTTCTCCGGTTACTCCTGGAGTTGGATGCGATTGAAACTGCTGACTGAACTTGGGACCGGAGCAGATCGTTTTCTCGCTGGAGATGTGCCATCCTTTCCGTCAACTCTCGACGAAATTCCGCTCGAACTGCCTCCATTTGAGTGTGGATCTCCTTTATCAAGGGGTTGTTTTCGGCCATGATTGAGGATCTTTCTCTTGCACGATGCCCCACGGTGGGCGCCAAATTGTTTAGGCAGAAAATAATTATTCTACTAACAATCTATTTGAGAGATAGGGAATCGTACAAGATAATATTCAACGAACGTATGATCAACGGATGAATCAATATTAATCAATTTTCGAATGAAAAACAAGAATGAGTATATCTGGTGAGCCAAAAGATTATCCTCTTTCCCCTCTATCGCTCATCTATTTAAAATAAAAGGTTTAGCTTTATCCCCTACGTGGATGAACTGCCCGGTGAAATGATAGCCTCTCCTACTAAAGCGGGAACCGTTCCTCCATTTTCTCCTCAACCTCTTAGGCCTCCTTATCCATTCCATCACCTTATTTGATTAAATCGGACTCTGTAGAATTCTTAGGGCTGCGTGGGCCGATCCGTTCAACATATCCAAACCCAACAATGGACCGATTCGCTTGACAAATCCGGGCCCAACAGACACTACTTTTAAATAATTCATATTTGGCACTTGCATACAAAACACTCGATGAAAACCATGTTTGTACCAATATAGTCAGACATAAATGTCTCATATATTCTTTACAATAGTAACACTTTTAAACCATTCATTCCTAAGTTTCTCTAAGGCGTCACCTAGTGGTTAGGTACGAAGTTACATAATGGAAAATCGGGTGCTCTTTAAAAAATTGTCGACATTTCAAGCCTTGCCAAGATAATTTAGGGGCTGATATATTGGTTTCAAATCCGTTTTATCAGTTTTAATTTGATTTGGAACGCATTGAAAGAATTAATACTAAACACATAGTTATAAAAACTATCCGGAGTACTATTTTTCGGTTTGATTCGATTCGATTTAATTCACATTGGATATATTTATTTGTAATAACTATGAAGGTTTTATTAAATTTATTTAGTTTGGTTCAGTTTTATTCAGTTTTTCTCGATTTCAGTTTGGTTCGGTTCGATTTAATACGATTTGAAGGAACTACTATCAATCTCATACCAAATTGCATGTGGTTCGACTTGATATGGTTCGATTCGGTTAAACCAAACTTATATGCCTACTCGGCCAGTAGCTTGCATTGCAATGTTTTTTTTAATTTAAATAAATTGAGCTCAAATCAATTATACAACTTTTATTTATCTAATTTTGTTTATTATCAATGAGAAATAGTTTGGGGTGGAATGAATGAGAACAATTTTTTGTTCAATGTCATGAATCATGACATTGAACAAAAAATTAATCTCTCCATCCACCCAAAACCCATGAATCGCCTTTTAACTAAACTTAATTTATTGAACTTTATATTATTTCCAAAAAAACATAAATAGAGTTCGTAGTATTTGGAAAAATATAATTAAAATTTGTATGTTTGTCTTTTTATGTAATAAAAAACAATACAGCTTAAGACATTATGAATCGCTCTATTTGAATTCCTTGATTTGTCTGATTAATTAAGTTGCCATATACATAATGTTAGTGTTCTTTATATTGTAATGAAATCCTATCATATTGAAGTGTATAGTATAGTGTAGTGTACATTCACGATTAAGAAAGGGAAAATGAGTAAAGGAGTAGGGAATATTGCAATTATCATCTTCATGGTGTTATTCTTTGCATACCTTTTCTCCAGATCACTATCACCTTACTACTTGATGATTAAGGAGAGAAGCTATGTTGGAAATGACCTAGAAGTGCATGTTTGCAATAATAATGGCAGTGGTGATGGAATTAAGAAGAAGATAGAGAGCAATAAGGATTGCAATTGGTTCAAAGGGACATGGGTTTTTGATGATTCTTATCCTTTGTATGACTCTATGTCATGCCCCTTCATAAGAGACACATTTCATTGTGTCAAGTTTGGCCGCCCTAATCAACAGTATCTCAAATATCGATGGCAACCTTATGATTGTGATTTACCCAAGTATGTTCACTTAAGTGCCTTTTTAATTTTCTCAAATATTAATATGCGTTTTAAGTTTTCATCTTCTTCTATCAAGATTCAAGAGGTCCTTGGTAATAAGTAATAATGAAATTGGGTAATATGTGGAATCTGCTGAAATTAATGAAATTCTAGCTACTTAAGAGATTTAATTGACTGAGTCTGTTAAATTATAGAGAAGTTACATTTAAAATATATTTCAACTAATAAAGAAAATACAAAAAATATTGGGAAAATAGTTAAAATGACATTATACAGTAACTTCAGCCAATTCAACAAAAAATACCTCTAATCTTATTTATTTTGATTATGACTCATTTCAATGCATGAGGTCAAAAGTTAAGTACAACAACAACAACATCCAAGCCTTAATCCCAAAAACTTTGGGGTCAAAAGTTAAGTGCTTGGTAAAAATATTGGTTGATAAGATGAAATTTGAAATTACCAAATAGGCTCGAAATTTAGCCAAATTGGTTGAAATTCACACTTTCCTTTGATGGATATCCCAAAAAAGTTCATAAATCTTAAAAAAAAACACTTTTAATCAAAAAGTTATAATTACCCTTACTTTTTACGCATTTTTTTATTGATTTGAAATAAAGCAAGAATACACACGAAAAGTCAAAACAAAACTCTATTTCATAAATATGTGTGTTGGTCAAACCGGGAACTTCATTTCGGGTGGAGGGAGTATATGTGTTTTAAAGTCCCTTGAATGCCTAATTAAATGATAAATTATCAATAGGACCAAAGATCGATGTTACGTGTTTGGTCACTAGTCAATTAGCCGTTTTTTCATTTATCTCCTTAACTTGATCATCTCGCTTTTCTTTTGTCAATATTATGTAGGTTTGATGGCGAAGATTTTTTGAGAAGAATGAAGGGGAAGAAGATCATGTATGTAGGAGATTCTTTAAGCTTAAATAATTTTGAATCACTTATTTGCTTGATGGCGCAATTCCTGGAATCAAATACAAACAAAAAGCTACTCCTCTCAATTTTACAGTCACATTTCAGGTATCTTATCTTACATATACACATCAAACACTCAGAGCCCGTTTGGTAACATGAAAATCGGCTGAATCAGCTGATTCTGCTGAAATTTATGAAGCTCTGGTTGAAACGGCTTTATTGGCAGATTCAGCTGATTTTTGGGGAAAAAATATTTGAAGTATAATTTATTAATAAAATAAAGAAAAAAATATATGGGAAAATAGCTAAAATGATCATCTACGGTGACTTCAGCCAATACAGCCAGAAAAGTAACTTCAATCTTACTTTTTCTTACTATTACACAATTCAGCGCGAAAAATCAAGAATTACGTATTTGATTAAAAAGTTGGCCGATAATCTTGATAAACCGTAAAATAGAATCATCAAGCAGGCTCTTAATTAATGGTTCTTCATTATAAGGAGCGATCTTGTATTTGACTTAGATTTTTCATAAACATCCCCTATATGAATTATCAAAATGTCACCTTTTGAAAAGAACCGTAGATTTAGTTTAATTTAATGCATGTACACATTTAATAATGTCTTTAATTTAAGATAAACCCTCATTAAACATTACGCATGTACGTATTTAAGTACTCCGTATGTATTTATGTATTTCTAAGTAGTGACATGCTAGAAATGAGAAGTCAATGAAAATGGTATAAATATTACGTCTATAAAAGTAATTGACAAAACTATGACTTAGGTTACTATAATTATATCATCATAGTCACTACAATACAAATTTGAACAATATCATGATCACTAAATTAAAGTTACTATTATCGTCATTGAAGTATAAAAATTTAAAAATTTATATTGTTGCTCATTACCGTCCTTTATTCATATAATTGTCATTATTTTGAAATGGTATTTTGGATTCAAAAATTAAAATGTTTAATAGATTAAAAAGGTAAAAAGCCCATCACAAGCATGTTTTCGATTCTTTAAATAAAAAAGTGGAGCTAAGTATTTGTGTGGCCCCATAAATAAGGTCGTGTTTAGTTTAATCCGACAATTATCATCTATTCCAAATGTGTTGTGTAGCTTAGAAAATCTCCTTAGTTTACTCATACTTTTGTTAAAAAACATGCCGTCTTCAGAATATGGCTAAAGGCGATGGATCTTCTCAAATGTACCAAATTTGATAAATCGAAATTGAATAAGATTTAACAATATTTTTAATTAACAAAAAAACTCAAAATTTATTCAGTTCAAACTAAAATGTTACGTTCGAAATAAACTTAAATGCTCACCAAAATCAACAAATTAAAATTTTGAATATATAAAGTAAAAAGAATATTTTTTAATTATTTTGATATTAATTTGATAACTTTGGTGCATGAGAATATGGATGATTCTAGTGACTTTGGGCAGACTCCAGCGTCACAGCATGTTCATAAATAAAAGAACAGAATTCGATTTTTTAATCTATGGGATATATTTCAATTGCTCAATAATTAGGGGATTAAAACTAGAAATGATCATATCATAGGTATGGGATCCATTGGTCCAAGATTTTTGTCATGGAGAAAAGTGTACTAAATATTTTTTCAATATACTTTTTGTTATCCACGAGGGAAGTTTAACAACATTTGGTTGAATATGCAGGAATATGAGGTCCAAGTAATATTATTTCACTCAAACTTCTTAGTAGACATCGAAGAAGAAGAAATAGGGCGAGTGGTAAAGATGAAGTCTTTGAAAAGTGGAGAAATATGGAAGCAAATGGACGTTTTGATATTCAATAGTTGGCTGTGGTGGACTAGGACTGGACCACAACAACCGTACGTAAGACTCATTATTTCAAGTGAAAAACTAACATGAACCATTTTTCCCAGAGTTTAATGCAAACCTGCTCGCAGGGCGGACCGTAGTAGAGACCCAGGGGGGCTACTGCCCCCAACAAAAATTTTTTTAGTGTATATATATACGAAAAATGATTTTTGCTCTTCCAAAAAGTATTTCGAACCCCCCCAAAAATATTTTCGCCCCCCAAAATGACTTTCCTGGGTCCGTCCCTGCCTGCTCGTCAAATATAAATTCGGCGTATTAGTCCCCTGCGATTTAAAAAATGCGTCAAACCCTTCTTTGTTATAATTAATCATTCGTCAAACCCCTTCCAAGAACAAATTTAATTTCCAAAAAAAATAAAAATGATTAGTTTTTTTATATAATTTAGAAATTTTGACAAAGTTACTTGCATATTCAACCATATTATTAAAAAAATTATTTTAAAATTGTAAAATTTGTTCTTGAAGGGAGTTTTGCGCATGATTAATTAAAACACATGGGGTTTGACACATTTTTTAAAACACAGGGGGTCAATGCGCCGAATTTATATTTTATGAGGGGTTTGGCGCATTTAACCCATTTTTCCCATGAGTTTGACTCTAATTATTATCTATTTCTTTTTTTCAGAATGGGAGTCAAGTTTACATTTTTTAAACTACACCGTACTTTTTATTAGCTTTCTTATTTTTCTAGGGAAAAATTTATAGCTCAAAAAGCTAAACGACAAGTTGTTTTATAGATTTTAACAAAATTAAATTAGTAAATGTTAGACAAATTGAATTGAAAAAACGGCCAATCAAGAAGCAGGGCTAATCAATCCGCTGAAATTGATAAAATTCTGTCTGAAGCGGCTGAATTGACTAGATTTGCTTAATTACGGAAAAATTATACGGAGTACATAAAACATATTTTAGTAATAAAATATAGAAAAAATACTGAAAATGTGTATACCCTAATTGTCTATGTACACAGACAGTTCATTTAGAAAAGTGCACCAATTGTTTGTGTACACAGAAGAGTGTAACAAGTATGTACAAATTTTGTGTATGAAATAATGAAAAGATATGCTCCCATATTTGTGCAACAATCACTCGTAAATGTCAAAGAATAAATGCATAGGCACCTGGTCCAAGCTAAGGTTATGTTTGCTTCAACTTACCATATTTGTGCTAATATTTTGAAAAAGGAGTTGTAGCATATATATGTATAGTATATGGGGTAGGGTATACTCTTCTCTCATACAATTAGGTGTACATTTATTGTTCTCTCTTGAAAATTGGAATTTGGGAATGAGAAGTTTCCTCTTTCTTTGAATTTTGAAGTTCACTTTTTAAAATACAGATGGGACTATATTGAGAAACTTGATGGTGAAGTAGTGAAAGACATGAATCGTATAAGTGCTTTTGAAATGGTTATGCGATCATGGGCACAATGGGTTGACAAGGAAATAGATCCAAACAAGACAAAAGTTTTTTACCAAGGGGAGTCGGCCTCCCCTTACCATTATAGGTATGCACAACTCAGCATTCATTTCCCATATCTTTTCTTTGACTAAGAACACTAGGAAGAGATTCAATAAACATGTACTCCCTACCTCCGTCCTGAATTGCAAACTTTGACCGGCATAAAGATTAAGAAATGATAATAAATGATACTTGCTTTTTACACTTTTGTCCATCTTTCTAAAAGTAGATGTCTTTAAGTTAATGAGGAAAAAGTAAAAGTAAGGGTAAATTTGTCGCTTTATTCTTATTTACATACCTAAAATAGAAAGTGGAAAACTATTTTGGGACAACCAAAAAAGAAAATTTTGCAAATCAAATTGGGACGGAGGGAGTACTTTTTATAGCTGATTTTTGGTCGGGTTTCTTATCATTCTAATTTAAAGGGCTGGAACTCACCATTATGTCCTTAGAGTCTTTATCTTTATGTTTTGCTTGGCCTAAATAAAAAATGAGGCTAATTTTAATTACAAAAATGTCTGTGTAAAAATAATTGTTTCTCCAAAGTATGAGTATTGTGCCTCCTTAAAAGTAATTTACCTATATCCAATTTAGAGAAATCACAATACACAGTAACTTCAACCAAGACAGCTAGAAAAGTACTACCCGAGTATAACTTTACATTTTCTTATTATTACACAATTCAGCGCTCGGAATCAAATACCATATCATATCTTTATCGGTATAAAATTTTTTGATTATACCAATAAATTAATGTGATGTTGGTGATTTGTTGGTGAATACCTCCTACCTACAGGGGAAACTATTGGGGGAAATCAGCAGACACAAATTGCAAAAGTGAGTTCATACCTTTAAATGAAACCATGATTTTCACCACCCCATCACAGTGTACCAACATTACAAAGAACATTTTGAGCCAAATGTCAAAGCATGTATACTTACTGGATATAGAGACGCTATCAAGATTCAGGGTTGATGGACACGTGTCGGGCTACAACGGATACAACGGCACAGATTGTGCGCATTGGTGCCTTGCAGGGGTCCCAGACACCTGGAACTCGATTCTCTATGCTGCTCTTCTTCAAGATAATAATAATTAAGTTAATTTCTTTTGCGTTACATTTTCCACGACATTCCTAAATTATTAACCTTATGCTTGAAAATTTTCAGTTTTTGCCTTAATTAATGGATCATGGCGTCACCGTATAAACTATAAAGTTATATGAGGCTTCTCTTCTTTTGCATTTACTTTTTTCATTTTCATTTACCCCATTGCCGCAAAAGCTCCCACCTACAGTGGGGTAAGGGGGAGTCGGATGTACGCAGTCTTACCCATGTACTAAAGCACAGAGAGACCTTTTTTTCTCATTTACTACTAAAAAAATTCCCAAGAGAAAAATTTCTACTAGAAGTTTAAAACAATGATAAGTTAATCAAATAAGTGCTAACAACTAATTTGTTTCAAAGCTATCCCACGCCTTGTAATTAACTCTCCATTTTTGTCACGTAGCTTTATGGGATGTTAATAGAATATTAGAATCAATGGAGCATATTTCTTAAGGACAATGTTTTGGATTGTGTTTAGAGACGCAACAAAGAAAAATAGGATAGCCCTCCAACAAAACATAAACAACAATTCTTGGTATACACTTTCTTATACACATCAGTACACCCTCGTGTCTGTGAGAGTTTATTTTTGTCTATGAATCTCAGTCCACAGACAAAAACTGGCTTGTTTTGTCTGTGAAAAATTCCACAGATAAAACAAGTCAGTGTTTGTCTGTGGACTGGGATTCACAGACAAAAAAACTCTCACAGACACGGGGTGTACTAATGTGTATAAGAATGTGTACAAAAAGAATTTTTGAAACATAAATAGTATCTCTCTTATGAAAACGAAGTACTTCATATCTGATCTATTTCATTATTACCTTAATAATGCCTTCAAATTTTGTTATATTTAACTTTCGAGTTCTAATTTGGGCCACTAATTTTGTGAATACAATGTTTTATACGTGTATCAGTGTATGAGTATTTCCAACAAATAACTTAATAACCTTTCAATATCGTTTTCATAATATAACTAATGAAGAGATTTTTATAAAAAAACATTGATGCCCTAGTCGAGAGCATAGCAATCTGCCCAATCGGCAACGACGGTCGACGGCAAGGTGAAGCAATCTGACTTGGGAATCGCAGCAAACGGTCAGACGCGAGGGAAGAGATTGGTATCGGCTTTTGGGCAGTCTCGCGTGTCGCGTCCAGATTTAATCACAAGGCTTAGATTCACGGCGGCAGCGGTCCTAGCAAGTCTAGGTTTTCGGCGGGCGGCGCTATAGTTTTCTTGGCGCTTCAGTGTCCCGGAGTTTTGCTAGTTTTTCTCATTTGGAGCACAGAGTGGGGCGCGAGACCACTCAGATTTGAAGGATCTTGACGAATCTTCATTGCAGCTCAGGGGAGATGATAGGGATCTGGAGAATGTTCGGGTTTGGACTGGTTGTGCTCGTGCGGTATGCTGGCCAAGAGATGGAGGCGGCTCACGGGCAGATCGTGGTGTTGAAGGAAGAAGATGAATGGATGAAGATCCACCCCCCTCCGGAACCGCCGCCATGGAGGATGACGCTTGAAGTATGGATTCGGTTGCTCCATAAGTTTATTTTATTTAATCGTGTTTTACTCTTTTTGAGTTGTTTAATTATGAACCATAATGCTATTGTTATTTCGAACACTAAGGGGGGTAGGGTTTTTGCTTGGTTTATTTCATTAGATAGGTTTCTGTTGGGAGGCAATCAGACTGACTCAGCCGCTAATAGCCTCTTTGCAACACAAAGGCATTACATAGAAATCAGTCCATTTTCATCTAAAAAGGATAGAAATCAATCCATCAACATCAGTTCACTTGTGTCAATTGTGAACTTATGCACACACCAGCAGTCTTTAAACACAATGTTGAAAGATTCTAACAAAATTGAACACAATTAATTAAAAGATAGAAGCGATGGTATTACAAAATTGTATTCAGTTAATTATGCACCATAATGACACAAAATTCTATTCAAATGGCATCAGCATTAACAGGGAGGCATGAGCACAAGGGGTGGATGCAAAGGATAGGGAAGTACATAAAGACTCAGATTGGAGAATGTTAGAGGCACAATCTTTAAAACAAATCAAAATCCAGAGTATGTACATATGTCACCTGTGTTTTGCATGATGAAGAAGGCTGCATAGATTTGCTCAACCGGGTCACCTAGGTGAAAATATTGTGATCTATCAAATGGACCAGAAGAGCAACTTAGTAGCAGGATTAATATATGTCAATGACCTTATTAATAATATTAATCAGCTATATGACTAACTCTATACGTCCAAACTAAGGATTAATGATATATGTCAAATTGCCAATGACCATAATAATATTAACCAGCTATATGACTATTAACTCTATAAGTCCCAAATAAGGAGCTCATAAGCCAAAGACAGAACCTTCCACAACAAAGCAGAGACAACTCATTTACCAGCAAATTTAGAAGTTGCACTCAAGACACAGAGTAGCTCATGGATTCTTCATTTAAGGGAATTTAGCTGTGAGAAGTAAAAGATAAAAATGGATTAAGCATCCATAGACATTACATCCATGCAACAAGTCCAAGTAAAAATAAATATAACAGTGAAATGACTATAAAAATAATAAAACAGTTCATTGATGTCCAAGAGCAAGCATGTGAATTAGTGGCCGATTCCTCTTTTGGCCCTAAGAGACTCGAGAGCCTTCTCTCTCAACTCAATTTCGAGTTTCTTTGCTGAATCTGCATCTTCTGAGACATTACCGCCATTAGTAGTTGTCTTCTCGGCATCTCCAGAGATGACATCATCACTATATGATTTCAACTTTTGTTTAGCCACACGCCTTTCTTCCCTCCTGCGGCGTCTCTCTTCCCGTCGTTGCTGACGCTTCTCTTCCTTCTTCAATCTCTTCTCTTCTTTCTTCCTTCTCTTAGCCTCCTTCCTCTCATCAATACCTGAGTCGTAACTAGAATCACCATCAGAAGAAGAAGAAGAGGAAGAGTCATGTTTAGCAGATCTCCTTTTGTGCTTCCTCTTTTCCTTGGCTCTATATCTTCGTTTATCACTTTCCCCGTGACCTGAAACCTTTGCATTTTTAATGTCATCCGCTTCCCTAGATGACTCATGCAGATTTTTTGACTCTTGAGGTGGATGAATATTGTTCTTCTCATCATTGGCTTTGGCGCTCTCCAAACCCAATGATTCCCTATCATTCTTAATAGCTAAATGAGATCCTGGATGGTTAACATGCAATCTTCGTCGTTCATCATCAATATCTTGTATGTGGTCCATCCTTTCAGGTGCCTTTTCACTGTGATCCAAAAAATTACACATCAAAAAGGAATTGCATTAGTAATACTCCAATTCCATCGGTGTATTTAAGTTTCATCTACAGGAGGACCACCAATATTGTCACAACATTGACAAGTTGGAAGTACAATTTGCAAGTTTTTTAAAGAGGGAGTCAAAATGACCAATAACACATAATTGGAGGCTATGTAGCACAGAAACGCATCAAACTTGAGAAACGTGAAACCACATCTTTCAATAAAAAATATGCAAAGTGTTTAAATAGATTTTTCAAAAAGAGTGAAAACTCCTTCCAAGAATTGCGGTACATCATAGATTGGACAAATAATGTTTTATATGTTAACAGTCAAAAAATCAAGGTTTCGGGCTTATGTAATGAGCTTAGACATAAAAGATGTCATATGACAGCATAATTGCAACAAACCTTCTCGTTGCTTCATTTCTCTTCCTTGGCCCAGATCCATTATGGTGCCGCCCAGTCTCATCCGACCTAAACTTTTGTTCAACATTTCGCCTAAAATCAAAGAACAAACACATCTCAGAAAAGAAAGCAGGCTACTTACAAAATTTTTCGTAAAAGAAAAAAATGTTAATTTTGATTGGCAATGTGCAGCAACATGTCGCAATGAGACATCTTAACAATGAAAAAAATCAATAACTACCTAGAAATACCAGCATCTTTTGCATCTGGGCTTCTCTCAGATGTATCAAGTTGCAACTTATATTCCCTTTGCTTTCGCAGAGGACTTGGACTTCTGGCTGGGATTCTCTTTTCGCTTCTTTCATTCAGGTTACTCTTGTCGGGACTCTTTGACCTAAAGGTTCTCTCAGATGTATCATGTTGCAACTTATATTCTCTTTGCTTTCGTAGAGGACTTACACTTCTGGTTGGGATTATCTTTTCGCTCTTTTCATTCAGGTTACTCTTTTTGGGACTCCTTGACCTACAGTGATACAAGCAATGTTTAACCTTCACAAGCCATGCAAAACAAATATGGGAAAACAGATGGGTAATTTCAAATTTTGGAAGGATAGAAACTTGGGGGGACTAAAACACAATATATAAATTTTTCACATATTTAAAAACATTTTTTACAAATAAACAATATATATACAACTTCCCAAAGATGTTAATCGGATTTGACATTCCTTTGCGTTTTTCTATTTGAGAGTTAACATACAGGAACAGAACTGTTGACCATTGTCCGTAGTTTTTTTTTAGTTTCCCACTAATTTCCATGTTTCAAACATACCTTTACGCTTTTGGTGCAAAAATTTAAATTATTGTTCATTTATGGATCATAGTTGATGTCCTATGTATTATTTCCTTTCCAGAGATTAAACCAAAAGGCATTGCAAGTATTGACACCTGAAGAAAAAACACATTTTTTTCTGTAACCAAAAATATAAAATGTCCCACACCCAATTACATATTGCATTCATATTACTGTCTTTGACCACTACAGACTAAAATTCCAATGACACAATTGATACTACATCTTTCTGTAAACTAGATTAATGCAGCTTCCCAGGCATGCTTACATAAAAAAGAAACCATTGGATAATAAAAATGCTAACCACTAAACGAGCACTTTGAAATTGGAAATTAAGATGAAGAAGCCATAGTAACAAGCTGGCAATGAGACATTGAGACTATAATGTTTTTTATCAGTTCATAAGAGAGAGAAAATGGAGAGGCACAGGCAATCTGCCGATTCATGGGGAATAAAAACAATTTACCAAGTATACTCTATAGTCCATGAGTGTCAGGAAGAATTGATCATGTGCATATACATGTGCTTCGTGGGGAATAAAAACAACTTACCAAGTATACTATATAGTTACAAGAAAATTGCTTAGTTCATTGACAGCGCAAAATTACATACAAAAGTCTTTTAAGATAGTTGTGGCTCCCATTCAAACCATTCACTAGGATGAGGAACCAAAAAGTCAAAATATTAAAGACATTCTAAGAACCAAGATAAATAAGTACTCTATATCTAATAGACATTTAAATCCTGCACATTAATAATAGTAAGCATACCTCATCCTTCCAAGAGGAGAATGGACAGGTGACATCCTCTCAGGTCTTGGTGCTCTCTCTTTGATTGGTGAGAGGCTTCTCTGGCGTTCTGGTGATTTAGAAACCGAATCTTCAGGTGATGGAGACCTCCTTGCTATAGGTGACCTAGATCTTTTCCTAAGTGGGGACCTGGACACCTTGCGGCCAGAACCAGGGCGATGAGCAGCAGATGGAGAACCACGGCGAGGACTCAATGGGGAATGACGAGACCGTCTCTTGAAGGGAGATGGTGATCTATGGAGCATGTGGTATGGTGTTCTTCGATGAGCTGGCGAAGGGGATCTATGTCTTAAAGGTGATCTTGACCTGCGCCACATTGGTGATCTTGACCTACGCCACATCGGCGATCTTGACCTACGCCGTAATGGAGACCTAGACCTACGTCGCAAAGGAGAATACCTACGGTATCGCCTGGGAGAAGGTGACCTGAGCCTTGAACGGGACACAGATCTACGCCTTCGTCTTGGAGGAGACAAGGATTGTCTGGGTGAGCGCTTATGCCGAGGTGAAGTCGACCGTTTTATAGGTGAGTGGTGTTTCCTTTCATCAGAGGATATAGAGCGCCCTCTTTGTTCACGACTTGAATTATGCTTTTCACTAAAGCAACAAGTATCAGATATCCATGACATTACCACATGTAATCATTTTACCAATAGAAAGGAAATTTATACAAAGAATGCAGTAAATGAACCAACAAATCAACGATACCACAAAGGAATTGCAAAACGATATATGAAAAAGACAAAACAATTCAACAGAAAACCATATGCTACACAGCTAAAGGTTGGGAAGCATACCCCGAGTAACTTCTAGAGTTGGAAAATGACCTACTGATTGACCTTGAACGCCTATCCCTGCACCAAGAAATAAATTAAATTATACACAAGATTAAAAAACTAAGAGTTAATTCCATCATTTGCAATGGAGCCAAAGATTCACTATTTTTTGGCTTGAGAATATGATGGAATAAAGCAAAATGGCTCACTAAACTGTCTGCGCTTCTTTGTTATGAAGCAGCAGTCCGTCTATGCAATTTTGGACGCGATTTTCACTATGGGTCATCCGGAAACAGACTCTCTGTGCTTTAGGACAAGGGTAAGACTGCGTACATCCGACCCCCCCTTACCCCACCGTAGGTGGGAGCCTTTGCGGCACTGGGGTAAATGATGATGAAATGATGATGATGATATTAAAAAACTAAGAGTTAAAGAAGTAGGCTCACTACCTCCGTGGTGGAGTATGAGCATCTAAGTGTGAAGACTTTGAGGACCTGAAACAAAAATGAAAAAAGGTCTACAGATGCAACAACACATATAAATACTGCACTATTTTACTACCCAAATACATACATGCCCGTCATTTTAAGAACGGAAGCAACCCAAATACCCAATGAAATATAATGATAAAAATCCAACTCTTTTGACCTTTTTCTTCCTTTTGAATTATTGTCAGCATGATCCTCCTTCTGAGCTGAAGGTGTAGGGGAATGCCTAGCATGATGCTTTGAAGATGGTTCCAGTCCGGCATACTTATCTCTTGACATGGAAATATCATCCTCCTACAGTAGTTTGAGGTAAAGGACATGAACCCAAATAATTGCAGAAGCAAGCTGACTAGCTGATTAACATGAAACACAAACCAAGGTTAAAAACAAAAAACCAATACAAAGCAATGGAACTCTGTCATGGAAAATAGGAGACTAACCGCCTTCCTTTTCTCGTGCTCCAGTTCTTCATATTCTCTGTCCTTTCTCCTCTGTATTTCATTTGTTACTCGATCAGACTCCACCTACAACCACCAACCAAGAAAACTATAGATTAAAGTGCATCGGACAGCAAAGAAATAAGCAATATCAAGTACCAAATGGGAGAAAAACCTTTTTCTTCCTTGTTTCTTCTTCTTTCGCATCCAAGAACTGCTGTGGAACACCACTTGCATTGTTCTGAGCACTAAGTAGTAGTGACCAGAGCTCTTTCATGAACTTTCCAGTATTCCTCTCCATAAATCCAGTCAGTTGAATTTGGATCTCTTTTCCATTTACATCCTGCAATCAATTTCACAACTGGTGCATCCCGGAATAGATTAAAGTACCAAGAAACCAAATAAGCTTGAATATATGCCACTACCTTTCCTTCTAGAAGACCGTATATGAAGTTGATAAGCACTTCATCTTCAATCCCTACAAACTCCGTGACTCGCTTCGCAATCCAAGGTCTCATCACATCCATCTTCACCTTAGCCATGTCCACCTATTCCCATCAATCAAGCAGCAAAACATTAATAAAAATTGAAGTGTCAATTACAACACAAATGCAGATATTAACCCAACCCTACAATAAGAAACGTGGTAAGGAGGTCTGGAACAAAACCATTAACCACCTCATCCATCTTAAATGCGTCCATGTCACCCTAAACGCATAATTAGTACACCAGCTAAAAACTAAAAATTTGGCCTCCATCTGACCATACAAAGTTAACCGAAATCAACGTTTCAGCATTTCAAGCATTGAATACATGCACAGGTTCGACTAAAAAAGCTCTATATATACGAACCAGGTGCTCCAATTCAGGAGCGAACTTCTGTGATTTCAACAGCTTAGCTTGCTTGTTGGAGAACCGAGTGTCTTGATCGGCAGAAGTACCCTAGAATAAAGATGTAACACACAAAAATAAATAACTTCAATGTCTTGGATCTAAGGCGAAATTCCGGTGGACGCATAATAAAGACATCGAGTTCAAGCAACTCGTACCCGGAAAAACCCTCCTGACATTTTTCACGGTCTGCGAACTGTAGTGTGGATTCTAATGAGTTGCGTAAGCGAGTGACAATGATTGAGATTCTTCTCGAATTGGATACAAGAGTTCAAGACATGTCTTGAAGCGGCTACTGACCTGCAAGTTCGAAACTAGACAAATGCAAGTGAAGGCTTCGCATGAATATCATCGGATACGGTTTCGGGTTCAGGTTACAATCGGTCTTTCAGTCTGATGAACAATATTTGTGGGCTTCAAAGTCGAAACAAGTTTTGGACTCTCAATTTGTACTGTCTTGTAAGGTGTTGGGAACTTTGCGAGTTTTTTTCATATTTAACCGACAATTTTTAACAATAGTTTAGAGTGAGATGGAAAGACACATCTATATTCCTTTTTTATGCAATCATAAGTGACACACATTAATTAGTGACACACATATGAATATATTCATATATATAAACGAAATATAATCATACAATTATAATAATTATTCCCTCAACTCCGAAATATAAGAAGCATTTCGTTGGACACAAGTTTTAATACAAGCTGTGAGAAGCTACTGTTATTTCATTTTTACCCTCCTTGTAGTACACAAACGGTCACCTCATATGTCAAAACTTTTACAACTGTAAAATGACTATCTCTACCATCTACACGTGTCTGCAAACCTTTAATACATACGGAGCAGTATGTTGTTGTTGTGTGTGTGCGTATATATGTGTGTGTCTGTATATGTAGGTAATTGTACAAACAATCTATTCTTTCATTTCTGAATCCAACTTGTTAATATTCTTTCACCCAGTTGTTGTATTCTAGTTTAACGTTGTGTTTTACCACTTGTATGTTAATCATCATTGGTACCGATTTGTGATATAGAATCGCACCTTTTTCGGGATTGTGATGCCTTGGTAAGGGATTTTCAAGGGAGGTTGGAAATCATTGCAGCTAACATAAATGTAGAAGGCGACACACTTGTGGATCAGTATGATGATCATGAGGATGAGGCATTAAGCCTGAGTGAAAAGATGCAAAATCACACAATCACTTCTGAAATTGAAAATCCCAAGGGAGAGAAAAAGCAGAACAAGTCAGCAAAGAGTAGTGGAAGCACAGAGGGAGAAGGGAAACTGAACAAGTACAGCACATGCAATGCATCTATGGGAGATGCGAAAGAGTACAAGGAGCACTTCAAGAGTGAGTGTCACGCCCCGGACCTAGCCGGACACGTCAACAACCCGCCGTACAGTACGAATAGTCAACCGTAGTCCAACTCATCCATACTATACAAGGCGTCATGAATATCATTCACACATAGTACATCCATAAACAAACATAATGTAAAACATGCATTTAAAGTAGCGGAAGCGTTAATACAATTGTTCAAGCCACACTTGGCATAACTAGGCATACAAGCCCCCAAAGTAATTATTAATAAAACGGTATCCATGAGCATTGTTATAGTTGTTTTGAAAACAGGAAACAGAAGAAGCACGAACCACGTCTTCTCCCTTGAAAATCCCCGAAGCAACGGGCGCCGGTAGCAACCTTCAAGTTCTACCTGAAACTGTGAGGTGGCCTCCCCCGTGAAGGGGAGGTCAGTACTTGGAAATATTTGACAAGTACAATGGCAACTATACTAAGTATAATCAACGTTTTAATTTCCAAGACCCTCAAAATAGGGTGATATCATAATATAAATAATAATTTATATTTCCCACTTATTATCTTTATAATAAGTAAATTTATTTACTTGTCGGCACACGGCCCTTCTTAGATATCCTTTTTCATTTATCATTTTTGCACAACCCAACCCTTGGGTCCTATTATTTCTACGGGACTTGCTACCGCTGTCCGAGACCTCATGAGGCTCCCGGTTCGGACTCCAACATCCCGCCCCTGGACTCGTACCCATCATCCCGTAGGAAGGTAAGGCCCTTCGGGGTCCTATCTTATGTGTTACCGCTACCGGAACCTAGTTAGGTCTCCGATTCGGATTCCACCCTAACCCGTGATCACGATGTAAGTCCATGCTATCCAACCCCGCTCTCTAGAGTCGGGAAGGGCCATGGTCCTTACTATTTCCATAATTCAACCGGCTATCCACAAGAATCACCGATCACCCCCGTAGGCCAATCCTATACGTAGGATCAATTTAATATTCACACTATTTTGGGTATCCCTTAAGGCCTACCCCTAGTATAACTTAAAGTTCATACTTTCCTACCTTAAAGCATCTCTTAAGACTACTTAAGGCATAATATTTCACGATCCAACCTTAGGATCAATCTTAACAACATTTCATTTTAATGTCCAACTAGCATCTTAATACTAGTCAATTTAATATCAATAAACCAAGTTCTCAACTCATAGTCCTATAGACAATTCCAACTGATTTTCCTTTGAAAATATCATTTATCTCAATATTCAAAATATCACTTTTAATCACTCATATATTCTAATATGGAGAAAAAGTATATTTCAACATATGTTTCATAATAAATTCCACATACAAGTCAACATACTCTCAACACATGAACATACACAATTTATTCTTAAATTTGTATATCATGCTCCTTTTCTTTAGACATTTAGTCTTTTCATTTTTAGGCATTATTAATCATTAATAATCCATAAAAACACATTTAATTACCTTCGGTAATCTCATGAAATTAACTCACTAATTATAAGCAATATAGTCAGCCATCCTCACCTTATGAAGTGCTGAAATAGTTGCCTTTGCTAAGCCCCTCGATCAATCCCCGTTCTAGGCCGATTGAAGGTGTAAAACTGAGCTGCTGGGCAAAAGCCGGGCGGCTTTCGTAGTCTGCAGAAACGGGCAGCTCCCTTAAAGTGGCGGTTTCCGGCGATTTCGACTCCTATCGATTCACCAACTCTTCTAAGTTAAATATCACCACTATATATCAATATTCTACACTTTTAAACGTGTAGAACATCATGTTTAATCCACCATATGATTTCTTAAAAATTATACACCATAAAACTAGTTAAAAGAACCATATGTGTTCTTACCTCAAGGCTTAGCCTTTTTCCTCTATGGATTCTTCCCTCTTCTTGGCTCCTCAAGCTCCAGAATGTTGAGAGCTCTTCCCTGGACCTTATCTCTCTATTCTATCCTCCTTATGGTGTAGAATGAGGGAGTAGTCCATCAAGTCTCCTCACCTTATGAGGATGGTGCATGAATTAGACAAGGAGGGGTGTGGTTTGTCCCCCCAGCTACCCTCTCCTTCATAAGTCCGCCCAAGCCATGTTAGGATGTCCCATTCCCATTACTCTGGTCATTCAGCACCCTTAAAAACGTGGGGTGGCCCCCACTTATGTGGGAGGTCATCCCATTATGTCCCGGTATGTATAATCGGCCCCGAAAGTTGTATTTTTCGGACTACTTTAGTCGTATTTTATTTTATCGGGCCGGGCAAAATATAACATGTGTTCCTAATAATTATGGGCCTTTAGAATAGATTTACATTCCCCAACACTAATTTAGGAGTCTCCGAAACTCATTTCGGGCTGTTATCCGTTAAATTACCAATACCGGTAATTGGGCCCCGTTTGACCCACCGGTCAACCCCATGCCTTTCTTATGGCCCAATTAAAATATCCACCACCATATACATATTATCTAGGCCAAGATGAATATAATATGTGGTTCGGGAATTATCGGGCGGTCCCTGTTCCCGCTGTGGGCCCCACATGCAATTTACTATTCACGTAAAAGAAATAATAAAAATTTACAATTACGCAAATTCATAAATCATCTTTCAAGGTTTATTACATAATTTACTAAAAGTAAATATGCTCGGGGTCGGTGTTACAGTGAGTGGCACAAACACAACCTGAAGCGGAATACTAGGCAGCTTCCTCCCCTCACTGCCGAAGAGTGTACGTCTGAAGTGGAACTTAGTGACTCAAAGGATGACCTGAAGGAATATTCATTTTGAGAGGTGGGAACAAGATTCTTAGGTCACAAGCATCACATTAATATGGTCTATAATGTTGGTGGGTCATATTCCTGGGGTTTTCTTTTGAATATGAAATACATGTGACCCACACGTGATTAAAACGTTATCCTTAAACCTGAGGCTCCTCTTCCATCCCTAAACCTGACCTACATCTTCAACGACAAATGACGACGAACTATGACGAGGAAGACAAAGTACGATGAAGAAGACGGGCTACGAGGTCACACGGGAGAATGACTAAATCATTCATGATGTCAATGAACGATTCATTTTCTTGGTCATATAACTCAAGCAGAGTAGAAGATGGACGTATTTGTCATCACAAAATTGAGGCGAAACTACAAACAGTAAAGAGCGGTGGTCCGAACTTGGGACGGAGATTTTATGGTTGCTCGTTATGGCCAGTCAGTATCCCTTTTCTGAATTTTGAGTTTATTCGTTTGTAGGACAAAAATGTTAGGAATATTGAATTGTCTAGGTGATGATTTCATATTACGCAAGCTAATTGATTCCGATTGAGTTTAAATCAAAATAACTTTAGTATTAACTATTGAAATGTATATGAACTTGTAGTTGTGTATATCAAAGTTTACTATAAAGTGTGACTGTTGTGTTAATTTCAGAATTCAGATTGTGATTTCTTTCAATGGTGTAACGACAATGACGTTCAAGATGATGTGCACAAAATGAAGGCAAACACCTACTAATTGAGCAGATGTTGGCCGAAAACAGATCATTGGAGGAAAAGGTGCAAAAGTTGATGAAGAAGAAAAATGAGTTGGTTGCTATGATAATTGGGTCTGGTTTGGTGGATTGCAAAAGTTGTAGAGGAGAAACATTTGCTATTATGGTTGTAGTTGCATCTTTGATTGTATTTGGGATTGTACGTTTTTTTGAAGTAATGTAACACTTATCAATTTAGGGTTGTTATTTGAAGTAATGGTATTCAAGTTACATGTAGTTGAATGTAATGTTCCATGTTCCATTTTGAGATCTTAAACATGTCTACCTAATGCAATGCTTTATAGTTTGAATTTGTGTTGAATTTATATGGTTGTCATGTTACATCCATTGCTGCAATCAATATATATCTTTGAAAAGGCATATTTCAGATGCTAACAGAAAGCACATATGACATATCCAACTCTCAACCTTTTGTATAACATATGAATGATATGAAGTAAAGGCAAAGTGCAGAAAAGACAAAAACCACATTCAAATTGTCAATAAAAGTCATTATCTAACTAGATGGAAAGAACTGGTTGCAATTGTTTAAAACTTCCCAGGATACATGCACCTAAAGTTAATCTACACAACAATCATAACAAAGAAAGTGTAGCTAAAAAACAAAATACATC